AACCAGGTACAAGTTGTCTGTTCACTGCAATTTGGCGACTAAGAATCCTCATCGGTCTGATTTGTTGCCTTCACTCATATGGTAAGTCTGTACTTTTCTGCTCTAAATTGAACATGCCTTTTGACGTAGATTTTTTTCAGAGTTTAATAGAAACTATGAGACTTCTATATGCTGAGAAAATCGATTGTCATTTATCCTTATTGATCATGAAGTATTGTCTCACAGATTCCTTCTTTTCTGTTAATTATTGAACCACACAACGATATCAAATATAAATTTCGGTTAAGAGCCAACCATCAGGAAACAGCTGTCTTAGTTCCTAGGTTCCACATATTAGTGAGATATCATACTTATTTTGTTCCATTAGTATATTTACAAGTTATGAAAATTTCTTGATGATAATTTTTGTTTTTAAGTTGATTATTTTTGGATATGTGTTTCAATATAGATGAAAATATTACATTTCTTCAAGAATAAAATATGAACAACAAGTCTTACATGGATCAAGTACGAGTCTTCATAATAAATAATCAATATAATGTTACCTATATGTTTTTATAGTAATTTTCATTAATTTTTAAAAAAAATTTCATGAAATTTCACCAAGATCTTTGTTGCCAAATCCGATTTCTTCAGATACATTATAATACAGAATGCAGTTTGAGGATAACATCAAATTTCAATACCAGGAAAAAGCAATTTTTGATGCTTCCTAAAATTCCAGCTTTTTAAGATATAAATAGATACAAAACGTTTGTTATCTAAAATATTAGTAATTGGATATAAAAATATTTTTGTGTGATAAGTTGTTGATCCATGATAAGACTTGTTGTTCACTTTAGATTCTAGAAATTTAATATTTAATTCTTCACTATGTGAACACATGTCTAAAGATGGACTACTTAAAATCAAAGTTGTCATCAGATACCAACTTGATGAGAAACACATGGAGCTAGACATGAAAGTAGTGGTTGAAACTGGGTTCCGTGAAGTAGTGCCCTTCGGCTTGGCAATCTCCAAACTCAAATTCCCTCAGTCTGCAGGTTTCTTACTGAACATCTCCACAAGCAGAGATTGCAAATTGCCATGATATCGTCTGCGATCGTGACAACAACAGGTTGAATCATGGTGATCACTGAGGTTGTAGTCATGAATGAACCTCGGCGCGTCATATTTGGCAATCTCCAAACTCGAATTCTCTCAGTCAGCAGGTTTCCTACTGAAAAGTTCCACATGCAGAGAATGCAAATTTCCATGATCTCGTCTGCGATCGTGACAACAGGTTGAAACATAGTGATCACTGAGGTTGTAGTCATGAATGAACCTCGGCGCGTCATATTTGGCAATCTCCTAACTCAAACTCCATCAGTCAGCAGGTTTCCTACTGGAAATTTCCACATGCAGAGAATGCAAATTTCCATTATCTCGTCTGCGATCGTGACAACAGGTTGAAACATAGTGATCACTGAGGTTGTAGTCATGAATGAACCTCGGCGCGTCATATTTGGCAATCTCCTAACTCAAACTCCATCAGTCAGCAGGTTTCCTACTGGAAATTTCCACATGCAGAGAATGCAAATTTCCATTATCTCGTCTGCGATCGTGACAACAGGTTGAATCATAGTGATCACTGAGGTTGTAGTCATGATTGAACCTCGGCGCGTCATATTTCGCGGTCGCGATCGTCTTAAGGATGATCTAAAAGTCCTCCGACGTAAGAAATCGACGATGATCCGAACCCGTGTGCGAATCAGGTCAATACCATGCTCTTGCTCATGTATGCAGGCTTCTGTCTTAGTTTCTGTACTCTCTTGAATATTGGCCAGCTTATCACTGATAGTGGAAAGCTAATTCAGCATGATGCTGTGCATGCAAGGACAAGTTTGCGTTCCAAGCGGATAGCCTATGTTCAGTTTGGTAGTCTTGTCTCCTGTGAATCACTAACGAGTCGAAAAGTCCGCAGATGTGAGAGAGTTTAGAGCTGGACCATATGTTTTCTCACTATGGACATCAAACCAGAACATTCCGATATAACCGTTGCAAATGAGCTGACTTTATTATGGCTCCCGAAGCGAATGAGTCTAAGTTTCAAATTTCTAGGCTTATAAGAGAGTTGGCATTTCTCAATTCAGTACAAAGGTTTTATAGTCTGGAACGAAACCCAGATTTTGTTTGAATTTATCACAACCCTCGTCAGAATTATCGAGGGCTGTATAGTATTCAAAGGCACTCTGTTGAAATCCGTCGAAATCCAAAGCGCAAAGATTGAACTGAACAGAGAATATAGAATGTCCTCATCAGATCATATTATTCGCCTCTTCGATCTCATTTGCATTGAAAATGTTAGACTAGAATGCAGTTGTAACCTACCAAACAGCCTCAACAAAATTTGTCTGTGAGTAGGAGCCAGTTTTTGCTATTGACAGTTTTATCCCTGGTTAGTGTCTGCTGATGGGATGGTCACTGGTGTCAACAGAATTTGAAGTAAATCTACCGAGGAATTAAGATCGGCATGCAGTTTCTTCAAGGGGCTTACAATCATGGACCGACGACGCTGGTCTAGCTATCATTAGAAGTAAGGACACATATGAGACGATCGAAACCTCGTGCTTCGGAGGCTGCATTGGTGCGGCCATCAAAAACTAATGGCAGGGGACATAGATACACCTCACCAGTTTTTATGAATGTTTGTAGTTATAGTTGTTCGAAATAAAATATACACTCATACGATGATCTCCAAATTCATGTTCATAAATAGTTTCAGACCTAGTCAATCATATCAATACAACGAATGATATTGTGCTTCATTGTCAAACTAAGATGAGTACATTTGGTATATACACTTGTACTTGTAAAGAACATGGTGTGTTACTATCACAAATGGACAATAATAGGTGTATCTCATTTTTTTAAAAGCGCTCGTTAGAAGAGCAGTCCGACACTTATTCCCGATGTGTTACTGTACTCAGAACATGACACGCAATCAGATATGGATTAAAAGTGAAATACTTTTATAGACTTTATATCGTTCCGACCAAATCTTGATACGTTATCAGATATGGATTGAAAGTGAATACTATTTTTAGAATTTACCTCCTTCCGACCACATCACGTGCTTGTATATTATATTGCAAATATATACAATTAGAAAAAAACAACAAATCTCACATGGATTCAAAAATTATCTATCTATACGAACAACAATGATGTCCACGCTAATGAGACAAGCTATAATCCAAATGGAATGAACTCTTGTGAGGGCTCGATGTCATTCTATCGAGCCGTCACAAGATTTCCAGGCGAAAAGGCTATTTGTACGGGCGAGCATCCCATCCTTGCATCTGCTGTGTGGGAACGGTCTGCATCCTCGAAGGAGCCAGCGAGTTTAAACAAGCTTATCCAAAGGCACGTCTAGTAGCAAGCACACTGAGCGCATCAGAAACCTCAGATGCGCTCTTCAAGTGCAACTGACCTTGAAGCGAGCTCTCTTCAATTTGGGACAAAGGATTGGGCCTTTCGATGCAATTGCCCCTAAGCCTTGAACTTTTTGCGAGATGATCTGATCTAGTGCCGACACCAGAGCAGGCATGATTCTCGAACGAAGTTCGACGTCTTGCGGGATATGGAAAGCCGAGCTACCTACTGTCGGGAGTCCCGGAGGAGTAAACTAAATTCCACCAGAGAAGAATGAATGGTAAACAGTGCGTGTAGGCGAGCAATGCAAGGCACAGTGGAGTGATGCGGCGAAACCAGTAGAACGAGGCCATGTTGCCAGTTCCTGGGCTGGTTTGGGACTAGTTCAATGGAGGTCTCTGTCGAGATCATGTATGAGAGGCCATTGGGTTCAGGACCATAAAAAAGTCGCTAGCACATGCTGCAGCTTTGTCGAGACCGAACGAGGCACACTTCACTCAGAAACAATAATCAGCATGATGACGAGTCCTCCAAGCATCTACAGCGACTCCCACCACGCCATACGCATGTCTGGGTGGAGATTGTCAGTAGGTCGAGGCCGTTTGCTGTGGCCGATATGGCGTGATGTCATCATCAGGTTGCTGCATTCATCAACTGTTGCAGTAGATTCTGAAACTGCCACTTGTTCACTCCACTGGCCTATCGCTGACCTGCGGCCAAGCATTAATTGCCAAATCTCGGTTTCGAACCCTCGATTTGGGATGATCCCATGTTTTCGAAAAGCTTTCTGGATGCTGACAAGATAATGGGTAGAACAGGGCCCCCAAACCAGACCCGCACTTGTTTCTTTCGCTGACTGTTTCCCAAGAATGAACTGGTGATCTCAATAGTTGGTGAGCATCATCGTCGACACACGCCAGTCGAGAAAGCTGAAAAACACCTTCGAGATAATCCTTTGAGCTGCCTACCACAGAGGGCTTCGCTTGTTCTTGCCGCTTCTCCTCTGCAGGTTGTCGTCGTCCGAGATCTTCGGGTAAGCTTGGGTTCTGGTGGATATAACTTAGCCTCCATCGTCCAGGAAAGATAAATCAGAGAGATTATGCTGACCTTCTAAAAGCCCTCGGTCCAGAAATCTAAGTAAGTGCATGCTGACGTTGTCGGACCCATACGATTCTATATGATACGCATCCACTGTCCCAGTGGCTCTGGCCCCAGTTCCAGATTGTGAGGTGCTGGCTTAAACAGGAATTATAATATAGAGTCGGAACAAAGTCATGGCCTGGATAATGAGAGGTTTACCATGGCGCTCCGAAGCCCACTTTCGGATTTCGCTCACGTGCACCGTAAACCTACGGATCTTGTGCAAGAGCAACAGTCCCCGGATCCTCTGACATGTAAATTCGTGTACGCTGAGAAATAGAAACTTTTTCGTTGAGCGAATATATGATTTTCGAGAAGCACGCGCGATAAACTCGGGAGAACGTGTCATGTGGGTGCGTGGAAGCGAGGGCTCAGCCAACAAATTCACACCTGTGAGCATGATCTGTCTTAGCTCCAGAGGTTTTATAGGACTTCCAGGTTATCACACTAATCATCTCCTCCGGCTCGTGTGCAGAGCCTATGCTGCGACTTGATCATGGAAACCTTTTCCTTTCACCTTCGAGTTCAGACATGAGGGTTTGGTCAGAGGTCTCAGGAAAAAGCATTGCAGCTTACCAATCCAGTGCCTTTCAAATGGCCAGTGAACTTGATGTGTGCCGCATGTGTGGAGAGCGAACGAGAGATTGCACGTCAGTGGCTTTCCCCCGTTGCCGCACTTGGATTCGTGTAGCTTGTTTATCTTTTGGGGCTCGTTCCTGTAGTTCCAAAGTCTATTCAGAAGCTGTAAAGGTTGGCTCACTCCAGTTAAACTTTTATTTTATGCAGATGCCCACCTTTAGAACTCGAAGCACAAGAGTTAGCGAGCGCAATTTTCAGTCGTTGCATAAAATGGTGGGACCTAAGTTCCAGAATATTGGAGTGAGTTCTCTCTTCAACATTGCTGATCGTAGTTCATCTTCCCACGCTCTACAGAAAGTTGACGTGATCTCGGATCAATATAATGTGCTCGAGCTGCACTTAACATTCAACCAGTTTGAAGTTAGCTCGAGCTTGCCATTTGATCATGTCGATTCCGGATTTATTAAGTCTGCGATGTCTGAAAAGTCCCAATTTTGAAATAGGACTGTCCACCTAATGTCGATTCGAAATTTGCCTTCCTTGTTTTGAATGACAGCTGTTGCAAAGATAACTTAGTTGCATTTGACTAGAATCACTACGTTCTCTTCAATTCCAGCGGATGTTCTACTTGAATAGTGGAAGCTGTAATATGTGGTATTCGAGCTTCAACTTACAGTTTTACCAGGTGCGATTCACTCAATTTACTCAGAGATTCATGCAGGCTAACCTTCTATGCCTGAAATTTCAATTTGGTGGTGATCTCAGATACAGGAGAAACGGTACTGTCACGAGTATGCGAGCTCAACTTATTGGATATGTTGCATCCGTCCGTTAATAAAGCCCGCCATTTGTAGCCATCTGGGATAAAGATTTATTAGTGTCTGTAAGTAGGCCTGAAACACGGCACTAAGCATGTCGAGACGAGATAAGGATGGTCGACTTTGTCCTCCCGATATTTTCCTTGGGGCTTTCAAGTTGTTGGTAAAGATCTGAAAGTCTGTTCAGCTGTGTTGGAGTTCAATCCAGCATACATAGCTCGAACGAGTTTTGAGATCGAGTGGTGACTTGATAGACATGTTCGGTTTGATTAGCCAAAGCTGATTTGATGCAACCCTCCAATTTGTATATCTTCGCTACATTTTGAGGCAAAAAGTAGGTAGACAGCAAGATTTTGACCTTGTTCGAGCGAGCTTCGATTGCAGTATCGGCTTACAGAAGTGACCTCACATGTCTTTTGGACTGCCTGTGCGGAAAAACTTCTTCTTGTATCATATAGGACTGATAAGAGATTTTGCAGGAGCCTTGAACTAATTTTTTGTTTCGAAAATTTTAATACAGCTAGTTTCCGCTGTTCGTAGAAGCTGGAAACGTTTATGGACTCGTGAATGCATCAGTTGATTAACTGTCTTGTGAATTACAAGCAGGAGAGTTAGAATGCAGAATGAAAATTGCCACCATCCAGTATTCTCAGCGAAAACGAAGACCTTGTTTCTCAAACTCCACCTACAAGTTACTCAATCGACTGGACTTGTGATCAATCGTTGGATTGAAATTGAGCAATCGAGAACTCAACATTTCACAGTTGTTTTATCTCCAGTTAGCACTTCCCTTGAAACAATTTAACACATAATACCATCAAAATGAATTCATACGTAAGGTTATTCATGAGGTGGAGTTCACAAGCAAGCTACTGGATTCACTGTCCGAGTGAATCTTTTACTCATCTCATCTTTGCATCAAAAAAAATCTTTGATGTTTAGAATCAGATAGAAACAGAAGTAGCTTAGTCTACATAATCTGAGCCGACTGTCCCCCATCTTATCTTGGAGATTAACGAGGGGCAATGGCAAGTTGGTGTTGATTTATCTGGGATCCAGATAACGCCGACATAGGTCGGTCATAGACTTCCAAAACATGGGATATTTGTGGTCGACAGTTTTCCATTTCAGTTCCCTCAAAGTGCCACGCAACTTTGACGTCTTAGCTTGGACTCTGAATATCATGGTGTTCTATAAGGGAGATATGACGTGGACACATCAGGCATGTGGATATCTTCTTTACAATTTGGCTGATCTGGGCATGCGACTCTTATCTGGTCACATCACCGCCTGTTCAATTCTTCCTAGTGTTTATTAGATTCGGACGGAGGGGACTCTCTTGATGATGACTTTTGGCCTTAGCGTTCCTACACTTTATTTTGTGACACAAAATAAGTGTAACTTAATTTCAGCCCGAGCATTTAGCAGCATAACGCCCTTGACTTTCAAACTTTCAGACCATATAATTATGCAAAACCGTGAACTTCACTAATTCGCGTCCCAAACCCATAGTCCTTCAAATCCACCATTCCCGAAACCATCACATGTGAAATTTGGCGAGGAACTAAATGCACTTTCAAGAATCTACCAGTTTAAAAGTCTTGTAAACCCGTAGATTTTCACAGATTTCAGTGGAAGTCCCAACTGCTACGTCAAGTCTCTAAACATTAAGCTTCACCAAAGCCGTGATGCATGCTCTACAAGCAGGACATACTCTACTGATACTCTATCACGGAAACCAGTATAGTATGTAGAGTAGAGATATAGTAGTATTAGTATATAGTAGAGATGATACATAAACTTGCAGATATCATGTTTGTGATTCTGAACACCTAAGTATCAAAAAAGTGGAAGAAAAATGTGGAAGAAAAGAAGTGGAAGAAAAATGCATGCACGGCATGACCAAACAGTCCCGTTGTTTGGCCATGCAAATTTGGCATGCATGTTTGTCATGTAGAGCTTCGACCTGTCGTTGTGTAGAATCCAACAGACTCTCTGTCTTATCAAGTTTGACCTTTAGGTCATTGAGCTCTGCAACCAGGCCGTCTATCGTTCCTGACTTCGTGTCTTGGCGCCTCTGATTTTCAACACTTTGTCTCATGACACTCTCCTCTTGCGCAACCATTTCTCTCCACTGCTCGAATAATTGCACTCGAATGCACAGATTTTGACATTGTGCAAGAATCTCCTTCTCCTTTTCTCTTATTTGCGCCACGGCACTTGCGTATCGCCCTTTCCACCTCAGAAAGATGTCTGGAGCTTCGGTGACCATCCTCTGCTCATCAGCACACCTGCTGGAAGATGATAGGAATCCCAGTGAATGATGCTTTCTTTGCAGTCTCTCCCGGAACATATCAGCTTCACGTTCAGCATGGGAGAACCAAGCCTCAGATGTTCGACATATGGAAGTATTTCTTCGTCTTTGCTATTCTTTCTCACAGTTACAATTTTGCTCACCGAGTCTACCATTCCCATTCGAATCAAACTTTCCTCCGACTGCCATCGGCGTCACAATTACCGGGACTGGGGCTCTCTCAAAAAAAGATTTTGGCTTAGATGATCTAGTTTCCCGATGTGTGCCTTCTGTGAGTGTCACTTTCCGATCTTTCATATCGAACTCCGCGGCCAACAAGACCCAATTGAAGATCAGGACACGCGTTGAACTCTACCCTCTGCACTTCAAAAACTGCGGCCTATGTGCATGGGAGGCTGGAACCTAAGTCACAAAGCCACAGACAATAATTGAAAACCAGCATATTACAGATTTTTACTGTCATGCAAAATCCAATCTTATCGTAGAGTTCACCTTGGTTTGATCACAAAGTGATAAAGATAACGACTCGGAGGCAGAGTCGGAGCTGTGATCGCAACTGCCTTGATCAGAAGTAATCCACATATAGTACGAATATCAGAACTGAGACTTGCCACTGAAGTAGGCACGAAGTTTGGAAGATGAGCAATTCAGCTGAGCTCTTCTAGCAATTCATCGTCTCGAAACAAGTCCTCAATTAGGCATTATAAACAGGTTTAAAACCTCCTGGATCCAATACTCCAATGAGTCGGAGTTCGGTGAACAAAAAGCATTTTACAATTGGTCCCAGCGATTCTTCCAACATCGGAGACCAGGGATGAAACCTACCAATGCTATAGCAAATATAGGAATTTAGTATCTGACACGTCTCAGAAATTCCGAGATTTGATTCATCACAATATTATGAGAATGCCACGGAGAATAGAGAAGTCCAAGTAGAATGGAAACTTGTTAATACAGCTGATTGCAGATTAAAGTTTTTGAATCCCAAGCACTACACATACTTAGAGCAACATCACTCGTAATTGATGATCACTCGTAATTGTGTATCGGACGACTCATTCTCAATATTTAGTTGAGTGTGAAGAAGTTATTCAAATTACTGAGCTACTGATTTTCAAGGTATGGGCGACTGCCCATTATTAGTAGTTTCAAGTACTGATACTCCTTAAATTTGGAATTCCACTACTCAATGACATTGTTTATGAAACCCCTGTCGATACTAGATGCTAGCCATAAATCCTGTACTGGGGACTCTTAAAAAAAAATTTAAAATATATGAGTTGCAATATGATTAAGCTCTCGTCGCGTAGAACCCACAATTTTCTGTACTGACAGTAATTTCTCAACAGTGCAAGACCCTACCTACCTCACCAGCTTATGCCAGCTTGTACATGTAAAGTTCATAATCGTCCACGTCGCAGACATGAAATAATATAATCTTAGGCCTTACGCGTACAATGGCCGCACTTCCACCGGCTACGTCATATCCCTCTTACGAAAGCTATTTCGCGTGAATCTCATCATCCCGCCGTTTTCTACTTCAAAGAAATAGGGCAGCTCAAATGGATTCTCATTGACTTAGGTGTTCAGAATCACAAACATGATATCTGCAAGTTTATGTATCATCTCTACTATATGATATCCGAAATGAAAATAAAATAACAACACGAATAACAGTCACATGGACTTTACAAAAGAATTTTGTAAACTAGAGTTTACAAAATATAATTGAGGTTAACGGATTCAAAGTACGGTCATTCATACAAGCCTCGATTATTAAATAAACTCTGTCAATCTATAGTGGAAATCAGATGGTCACAGCTCCAAAAAAACCAAACAAAAGAAAATTTTATACAGTTTAGCCACATACTCCATTGAAAAATAGAAAAGCATGAAAGCAGCCGGAGAGTTGTGATTTTGACTTATTCCCATTTATTCCATTACTTTCTGAAAGTGGAACGGATAGATATAATCACTTTCTCCGATTCTTCCATCAACTACCAATAAATTTTCTCAACGCATATTTACTCTTTCTGACTCCACAGAATCAATCTTACATTTTGGGATTGAGGCGGCAATGGTGTCCAATCATGTACTCATTAATGTTGGACAACATTAAACGGGAAAAGTTTGCAAATTTCATTTTTACTTTCTACTAATTAAATTTTAATTAACCGTGTAGCTTCACAGTTTTGTCTCCAAGATTTTTAGTCAGGTATGTCTTGGGTCGCAGAAGCAAAGATACAAGACTTTAACGCCATAAAAGCTGGAAGCAATTTGAACCGGACCATGTCAGAAGGGACCTTCTCTCTATAATAGATCAACGGGTGTTTAGCACGTAGTTTACAGGAATGAGTTTCATAAACAAAGCCAATCATCATACCATGATTAGTTTTATGATCATTGTGCGCAAAATACTACCGGTGATAACAACTCACGATTTTAGTATGAGAATTTTTCACTACAATTCAAGCAAAGTCTTAAAAAACGATTAAGGTTTCTTAATAATTTATTATATAAGCGAGTAGCTGAAAACAACCTTTTCTTTGTATAATAGATAACTAAATTTCTGAACGAATGTCAACATATTTTTTTCTACCATTTATTGGATCTCAATCATCAGTTGCAGTTACGATAGTTACAAGAAGGAATTTCGTGGATATTTATGTGAAAATTGTGAAATTTTTCAATTATAAAAAATATGTGCTCATACACAATGAATTTACGCATCAGCCAATTTTCAGAAAAACATTTCATACTAAATCAGCAGAAATGATAGGCTATTCATCTTGTACATTGAAGAATATATGATGATATGTATTAAAAAAAAATTTAATGCTTAAAATTAACAAAAACTTTATCAAGACACCATCAACCCATGTAGGGTGAACTCGATAAGGTGTCATGGAGCTATTACTCCGTGTCATGGCATTGAGAATTACGTATCACTTCACTTTATAGACCCAAACTATCTAAGGTCACAGAATTTACAAACAGCACAAGCATGCAAAGAGGTGTCTCATCATGTGATTGCTATTCTATCCTACGTTCAGCACTAGGATTTCGTGATCAATGCAGTACACTAACTGTAACTTTTACTAAAATACTGTAAGCAAATATTTAGAAGACGTAGAATACATGACACAAACTTGAGTGCAAATACGTTTTGGTTACATAGGCAATGACTGGTCTTTGTAAACCGAAATCTCCGTCTGGTCCTGAATTCCTCAATAATCATCTCGCATCTCACTGTTGCACAGTAAAGCTTTCTGCCGTAAAAGTCAGCTGGGAGTAACGAGTGACGAGGCCAATAGCAACTGAGAACAGTCATGCTTCTACAAGACATTTGAGTCAAAATTTTGAACTCGAATTTGTGTGGAATGCCATGATATTGAAACTAAACTCCTTGAATTTGTAAGACTCAAGTTTCTATATTCGGTGGACAAGTAAGGCGCATATTGTCGGTATACTAGCGTCAATCCGTTAGACAGCATGTTAAATATACGTTGTAAAGGTGCTCATGACTATGTAGAGTTATATTCTTATTCAAGATCTGTAGATTTCCTAGCACTTGATTTTCACATTCATTCTACCGCTCAAATCAAGGATGAGACTAACATGATCCTAAAAGTAGAGCTTAACGAAACTGGCAGAGTTGAAGCTTGAATGAATACTTTAAGTAGTTGTAGTTCTTAGTAAGTTTAAGTAAACTCTGAATTCAGGCCATACTCGTATCAAATAGTCTTATTACTAGCTCAATTGGGTCCTCTGTCGTGTGTCAGACGTTGTAGCCGCCGGACAGAGAAATCTGTACAATTGATCTCAGGACTTCAATGAAAGGACTTCAATCCCAATTATCTCCTTTCATTGCAGAATCTGATCCAAAGAGGCCAGACCTTGCCTCATCTTTTAGGTATCTATTATCCGAAGAGGGCATATAAACGCCTTGACATGCATGTAAACAACGCACTGCACATGCATCTCAACGTTGTTCATTGTATTCCTAATTAGTCAGAAGGTGCCAACTGTCACGTCCACCACTTCCTGCTTATGATGATGTTCTCACAAAACAGTTCGTAAATTCTGGAGGGAGATGCTGAATGAACGATTTGTTGTCAAGCATCAGCAAGTACCATAGATCAAACCGTTACTGGTACTAACCCATCTCCAACAAGGCTTATCGTTCGTCCTATGCGATAAAATTTGAAATCTGAAGATATCGCATAGGAGAACGACGAATTCGAAGGTGAGCCCGGAAAAGAATGAATCTCACATGTTTCTTTGCTCTTGTACACCCTAGTGCTTAACATTCGTTGACAGTCGCTCCAAGTTGTTCTTGCAAATCACTAGAACGGTCGTCCATCTCATCTCATGGGCGTCGCGGTCCAAACTAGGTGAACTCCCCTTCGAATGCTCCACAAGTTCATCTGACAGCAAAATGCCCCGGAACCTCAACATTTAAGAAGCATCGGGCATCTTTGCATCTCAGTTGACGCTACGACTGCATCAACCAAAGTTAAGGTACCAGAAATGAAGCAATTAGATATTCGCTGTATGCTTCTCAGGAACTTAGCTTCCAAATCCTTCTTTAGGATTTCGTTCCCTGATCCAAGCGGGGGAGGTCGAAGATAGTCGGTGAAAGCGGATATATCCGTAACAATAATTCACATAGATAGATTACCGGCGGCTTCTTTCCTCACTTCGGACATGCTTCGTGCTCGAAATTCGTGTGATCGTGATCATCGCCTAAAGATCAAACCACCAAGGTGCTACTTCAGCAGGCACCGTGTTTAATATCAGTATCAGCCAGAGTTACTGATCAGAGTGTGACTGAAGTACTCTACTCAAGTCAGGAGGATCTCTCTGCGAGATGGAATGAATGACAGAGCGAGCTCCACCATGCCTCGCTGCTTTCCCTTGTAAGCTACAGGGTAGCTCTGAATGGGCACTTCATTCCGGTGCACCTCCAGCAGTTTCTCCACATTGATCTTCACCGTCCCTCGAGGACTGTTTCTCTTGATATCATGTGGCTGGTACAGACTGATGTGCAGCCAGTCGTACATTGCGAAGTTCACATACTCTGCAATCTTGAAGCTGACCTGCTCGTTCCACTGCGGATTCGAGCCTCCATTACGGACCACGTTGCTCTTTCGATTCTCTCCCCCGATGCAAAAAGCGGCGTACATGTTAGCTCGGCCTAGACCCATGAACTCGTGTCCTTTGATGCCCTTGGCTCCTTTCAAATGGATAATCAGCTCTCCGGCCCTCATCGTAGACCTTGGTCTTGAAACGTCCCGAAGGATTTCCATCACCATCTTCACAAACTTAGAAGGACGGAGAAGTTTTCCAAGGTATTCTTTCGAGCAACACTGCGCGTAATTCGGGCTCCTTCCACTGTCCGAAGCCGATCGTCAATGTGACGAAGGAAGATGGACTTTCGTCCCACTTGGAGTGATTCTCTTCAACGTGCGAAATATTTCGAGGTTCAGATGAAAGTGATCGTCCCCAACTATGTTCTTATGTATATACTCTTCCCGTGCAGTGCACTTTGAGTTACGAGAAGACGCTTCTGCTCTCCGCGTGAGCTCTATCTGAACTCGGTCATGTCTACGAGATGACTAGATCAAATAACGCTCGCGTACAACGAAGTCTTGTCCCCAAAAACTAGCCTATGAAATGATCGGACTTCTCTCCAATTAAAGCTTCAATTGAACATGCTTCAGAGGCACATATGCATGCCGTAGACTGAGCATTGCCATGTCAAACTGGTCCACCCACTGGCGCTTGGTTACCGAAGCTCGAAGAAGGGAGGAGAAAGGTGTACACAACTGTTTTGACTTTTAGGCTCTAGGACTCTCGGAATACAAATCGAGGCGCGAAAGGAAGAAGGGCAGAACGTGAAGATCGGTAGGCTCTGTCTATGCACTCTGATCCGGAGAGTTCACATCTCTCAAGCAGCACGGAACCACACTGTTGTAGAACTCCAGCAAACGCGGAACATGATGATTAGGTTTTATTCTTCGGCTGAACTGACTTCGTGGATCCTTTCATTATGTGTTCACTTTGTACAAATTATTTAGTTTATGTGCAAGATAAGCGCTCTCCGAGCTCCTCCCATGACATGCCCTTTTTATCGGTTTATATTCCGTGTCTCTTGATGATGAAAACTCAGGAGTCATTGAAAGAAATGTTCCGAAACTTTATAACGTTCGATGTTCAGGAATCTAGCAGAATCAATCAATTCAACGATAGGAGCACGTGGGGAGTAATTCTTTACCCGTGAAACGAAGATGCAAACGACGTAATTTTCTAACATCGATCGGAATGTTACGTTTTCCTGTACCCTTTCCCATCTCAACTGGCAATTTAAGAATTCAAAAGATAGGGAAGAATGTTCCTCCGCGCTGACCAGTGCTTGTTCTCAGGATGATTGCAGGGAAGCATCCAGCAGTTTCCTGTCGAAAGTTCATACTTAGTAACTGGAGAATCAAGTGTGTTGCGTCATGTCAGATCTATGTCAAACTCCCAAGTAAAAGGGATGGATGACAATATAGAAGCAAAATCTTCGGAATTAAGGTGTCTTTTCAAACTCACTACCTTAGTTGTTTAGCTCAGAAGTTTGTAAACTAATCTAGATAATTTACACACTTCAGACGCATTCCTGACAGCATTTTGCATTTCTAAGATCTCGTTCTTGGTCTTGATATATTTCAACAAATAGGTGTAATTTCACACTCATTTACAAAGTTATCTATTCTAATTGTGATAAGTCACTAAATTGAATAATCATCTAAATAGACGAAGATGATGAAAATTTTCAAAAATCAATATTGTGCAATACTATCATCCTGAACAAACCTCTGCATATTTGGAAGCCTCTAAATCTTCAAGGTCGAGTATTGGACGCATTCAACGCGGGTCAGCTTTGACGCTTCTATGGATCATGACTCGGCCTCCTTAGTCAACCCTGCAAAGGGTTGAGTGTAGAGGCCGTAGACCCAACTTTCGTGTATTGTATGCGAGAAGATTGGTCACTTAAAAGAGCAAAGAGTGCAGTGCAGCTCTGTTGACTCGGAACTTTCGATAGTCGGAAGAGGTGAGGTCAAACGCAGGCAGCATGCGCAAGTCAGTGGATCCGTGGTCCGTTAGATGCCTCATGCTGTTCTGAATGACTAGGCATCTTTCAGTAGTAGGGCAAAGAGTAGACGGAAGGCCTTGTCCATAATAACCGCAAGTTCATAATTGTATATTATGATGTTAACTTTCATCGATACATTAATTCCTTGGATCACATGGGAGAAGAATTAATGCTTTGACTTTGTGCTACAAATGAAGAACTGTATTTGTCCAAATCTTAAGAGACGACTCTCAACAAGCCATTATGCATTCGATTCATAACAATAAACACAACAGTAGGTAATGTCAAAGCACTGATAGATGGCATATTAATCTTTCATTATAGTGTCATTCGAGGCAGCGCACTGGAATGATAGAGAGAACGAAGTTTAGGTTACCGTCCGGGGTACTTTCTGCTGCTTACTGACTTGAGGAGCAAAGGTTTTCCCAAGTACACTCCAAGGTAGCATTTCAGATAATCTACTTACGTTGAAGGTTAGATGTCGAAGACTGTACAGCATCAAGGGGTTAATCGATGGGAAATGACAGTCTTGAACGTGTCTACATCCAGTCTTGACATTGTTTCCAGAACCCAATCTGAAGCATTCTTTAGCGGGGACTGTTCATCGTGCTCAAAGGTACGCCTTTTCTTATTGTTTATTTGATATCATGACAGATTATCAGATTAGTGTTTCTTAAGACACTAGTTATAGGACCGTGAGCCAACCACTATGCCTAAACAATGTATGTTAATCCTACCTCACTATATGCCTTCCAACATACTATCAGGTGCGATAGGACTCAAGTTAGACATATACTGTTGCCATTACTATTGTAAGATGCGAGGACCATCTTCCCCGTGCGTACGGCGTCTCAGGCCCTATGAAGTAGAATACCCATATGGAAGTCACTATCATGCGGAGACATTTGTCCCGCACAAAAATTCATTGTGCTTTATACCCCTTTCATCCATTGAAAAAGTTGAAATGTTTTCCTTGTGCAAGGACAGTAACTGGCAAGATGGCATTATAAGACAATGATGACCATTTACAGACAAGATTATGGGCATCAGACAAAAACAAGGTTAAAGTAATTTACACTCCATGTACTCATTTCTCGCATTAGGTCAATGAATCGAACTTCTTTGCTTTGATCAGAACGTCAACAGATGAAACAGGCTGCTGACCGTATATCGACATCCCTTCTCGAGGGCTCTGTTATGTCAACAAAGTATGCGGGTAACCCAACTTGATATTTCATTTCCTGTCTAAAGGAGCACCAGAAATGATACAGAAGTGACAGACCTTTGCGGTCATCTATGAATAAATCAAGGATCTCGCTAAAGCTCCTACTATCTTTGACATTTTTAATCTATAAAACTAAGGCTCCTTCATAAACAGATAGGCACAGGATTTCTCTCTTCAGCAGGAGATTGATTGGTTCAGTGGTAGATAGAGAAACGTGGCATCGGGCTATCGTCACTGACTTGGAAACCAGTCAAATTAGCGATGGATGGCCGGATGCATTCGCTCTCCATATTGACGCAAACACTGCAAAAGAACGTATTGCCAAAAACTTAAAAATCTTGAGTACATAAAAGGATGTCTAACTCAGATGCCAAGAGCATAAAAAGGAGTACTACGATCAACAAGTCACGTGAAGACAAGGTGAGAAAGATGAAAAAACTACCAACCTTGTAGCAGAATATCATATCGTTTGGATAAAGGGCAAATAGTTTGGTCCCAATCCGGGCGTTACAAGACCCGCAAACTGTATCCGCTGTAATACAGACATGCCTTGATCTCTCCTCGACACGAGCAATTCTTGCCTCCAGATTCTCTTTCCGGTTCATTTGCCTGACAATCTTTCGAGAAAAAGATACCCGAATTCAACAAACAACCACCTCTACAATAACTTTTCCTCTGAAAATTTCACCTTTTGTAGTGATATGTCATCTTTAACAACTTCGTGGACGCTGGAGACTTCATAAAACCAAATCATGAGTTCCGATCAAAAGCCAACAAACATAAAACATTGAGGTACCTGGCCTTGACGATGACGGTGGACACGAGAGACTAACATTTGTGAGATAGTTTCAGACGCCAAGCTGAGGGGCATGTCGAGTGTTAGTGCCTGTCACACATACAAACGAGATCAAATTTCTGAATCAGTCCTGTTCGTTCATCACTTGCAGTTGCTAAGAAACGAAATTCGTTATCACTTTAAAATTCCACCTTATCTACTGTGGTAACAGTGAATTCCATTACTTGGAACAACCGTCGCTGTAGTACTTTCCTACAGCGAGCAATCTATACTTAACGTAGTATGATCTAGCCATATGAATCGATATACAATAAGTCATACGTAACGAACCTTCAAAAGTTGCATCGGGTCAAGGTATGCTCCAGGACAGTGAAGTAAGCTGACAGCTGCTCGGTGCATCGCAACCCTTCCTTCTCCGGGATTCAAATACATGTTCATCAACCTTACCTCATATACAGATCGAGTCAGGCAGATCCCATATAACTTACATATGTGACATCTAGAGGACTTCGAAACAAATCAGGAAAAGGTAATAATTTTACTCTTAAATTTCCTAAATGTTAACAATCGACAAAGGAGAAAACTCTGCATTCTTAGAGACTCGTGAGTTACCCGTACAAGCATTCTACCAATCTACTGAAAGTATGTACTGTACGAACTACATGATATAAAAACTCACTCCGAGTAAATATCTGGCCTCCCAATTTCTGCACAGTATTGTTCTGCTGCCTCGCTATCTTCAAGCTTCCTGGAAAACACAAACAACTCCTACTCAAGTTTTGGCTATATATTCTTACTTCCCTGTTCAACGTCAGGCTAGATTCAAAACAAGGTACATGACATTTATGCGTCATGTACTCTGATTCCCTTTTTTTCTTAGGCAACATGATGATATTGACACCAATTGACAGAGACCAAAAGAACTAGATTAGAAACAACACAATTAGAGAAATGCTTCACACAGCGACCTGAATATGAAACTTAGAGTAGTCACCCCTCTGCTTTTTTAAAAAAAATGGGGTGACTAGTTTAACTTGACCCAAATCACTGACGTAAGTGGCGATAGTAAATCACATCAAGCAGATAGTTAAGAGTAACCTCGGATGAAATATAACTTACAATGCCAATGTTCGTAGTGCTGATAGTTCGTCACCGAGCTTCCGGTGTAACACAAACTGTTCACGAGCAAACCACATGGGAATGCATAGCAAGATGAAAGGTAAGGGTTTGGATGTTAGTAACATGACAATATAACGATGCCTTCTCATTCATCCAATCATGAGAACAAAGAGAATGTTCGCAAGATCAAGAGATTTCAAATATGCACCTGCTCTTTCCAAAGTTCTGACTCTTGAATGTGATCTAACACAGCTTTGGCGTCATAATGATCTGAAGACTCCAAGAAAGTAAGTAGTTGCTCTCGAGGATTGTTAATCATGGCCAAGGACGATGGAGATACGCTAGCGTCCAGCTGTGTTTGAGGACACTCATGTCTAGTGTGACTTAGATGGGCTTGTCTTGATGATGATGCTGTACTTCCGCTGTCTTCCATATGACCAATATTCTCCCCAAGTGCACCTAAAGCAGATTTTGCGAGAGAAAGAGCTAGTTCTGTATGGTAATGGGGATCTTCTGACCCTTGCTCTCTTACTAACCAAAGCAAGTACCTGCACAGAAGCATAAGGACTCACAAATTTATTTGAATGTTTAAGGCAACCACCTTCGTTGTTCAAGTCAAGGAGAGGATATCAATACACAGTCTGGAAGACTAGCAACTTACATGATACTTGTAGACCTGGACTGCAACTTTAAACTATCACATGTCTCGAAAAGCATGTTCATTATCCCTTACCTTTGCTGCACAATGCCTCCATGAGCCTTCAAAAGTTCTAGTGCATCCTCTGCTTCGATGAGAAAACTACTGTGTTAGGAAAGACAAGCTTGTTATTTCTGTAAAATAAAAGAAGAAGATATTTAAGCTTCGTGAAGGTCTTGTGATAAAACATTCAAAAGTTTGATAACTACTTCACAGTTACTACGTTTAAATACCTGCAGGGAGGGGATCTTCTCGCTTCGATGATGTTAGCACATTTAATGCTAGGTTTTGGTCAAGTTTTAAGATCTGCATGAAGTGAAAGTTGATTAACGAACTGATAATCTCCACTCCTTGCTATAGGTCATAGGGAAAAACCGTGAGACGACAGAAATAGGAAACTCTCAGGAATGTCACAGGCAAAGTACTCAGGTATTTGTTCAAGTCACTTACCCAACTCAAATGCAGTAAGACTAGCTTGCTGTCAGATGACTCCTCTAGTAAACGCGCAGCTTCTGTAGCTGCTGCCACTTGCCTGTAACTCAAGTTTCCCACTTGATGGTTCGCACTTCCCCATGAATTATATGGTGTGTGTGCCAAAGTTTGCCAAACTTGCAAGGCCAAATTCCAGAGTTTCTTGCTCTCGTACAACAAAGCAAGTGCCCGAAGTTGCCCTGCACCTTTGAGCAGATTCTCCACCTCTTCCTGCATTGCCCATGCATGTAAAGAGCTGCGTCATCCTGGGCAACGGCAAGTCTTCCTTTTTCTTGGCAGTCACAACGTCTTGTCCATTCCTTACTTCAAAAGGCTGCTGCCCAACCACCCAGCATAGCCCAGAATGCATGCTATTGAGCTCCGCTGGGTATTGAAGAGAAAAACCTTCAAAACTAATAAAAAGATTGAAAGAGAAATGAACTTAAACATTGAACACCCCATCTTCAAAGAAGAGGTTCATGGTTGCAAAAAGGCTGCAACTTACAACTCCTTCAACAAGCTATATTGATGTTTAATATGTGATCATGAAACTAGTAACAAGGAGGCACAAAGCTGCTTACTAGTGGTTTCGATCAAAACCATTGGTAACTACCAATGGTTTTGATTGAAATATGAGCAACGTCACATTTCGGGGTAAATTGTGTTTCAGGTAATAATATATGCATCTCACGTATCTGAATTAAGATATAAACCTATATGGTACAAAAAGATCCCTCAAGTGACAGATCTTCAGAACTTCATTTTATCTCGACAGTTTTAGCGTTGTTGGAATGAGTGTTTTGAGTTGTGCAAGTTGATCATACCAGGACGCATCTATTGGACGAAGAAGCCAATTCCTCAAGTTCACTTGTAGCATGTAGTTCGGTGTAGAGCTTCATGAGAAATGTATCGACAGCCTCCTTCTCCAATGCTTTTAACTCCTCCTCCCGAACCATATTAAGATATCTGAAAAGTTGAAATAGACAGAATCCACAGAATGTGGAAATTAAAACTCATCTTAAAGTTCTTTTCCAGGTTAAATCTTGCAACGAGAAGGGAGTGACCCGAAACTTTAGGTTGAAGCGTGACTTAGACAAATTCATCCAAGAGGTTACGTCTGTGTCACGCTTTATTTTCAAGTGGCTCCAGGCTGCAAAAAACTTTGAAGTGTCAAAGCAAGTCATCCAACCTCGCAACGTTTTGCATGGCGAGAATTAGATAACGTTCAACGAGAGCATCTTTCCCTGACTTTGTTCCCAGGTATAGATCTTCAGATTTTGATCCATCACCTCCAAGCAGTTGGGTCTGAGCCAGTAAGCCACTTTTAATTGCAAGTAAGCCACTCTCGATAACCATGACCATCGGTTGAGGAGGTGGATGCAATCCCCAATACCGTTTTCGAGGAACCTGCATTTAGAGAAACAGTTTGAGAATTATCTTGAAACAGCAACATCATTGATCCATTTAGAAAAATTATGACCAATTTTACCTCTTGTGCAAATTTCGTTTGAAAGCAAAGTTTAAGAAAAATTATCGCTAAATAGCAGATCAGATCACATAAATGAACTTCTTTGAGAGAACGTGGAAGAAGGATGCAAACCATGGCTCGCCAACGTGATGTCATAGAGGGAAAAAAGGGGAATAATTCTGCAGGCTCCAAAATATCGGAGAGTAGAAAGTGGTCCATGGCTTCCTTAAAATGCAAGTCAAAGAGATGGAGAAACCCTGTTTCAGCATGGACCATTGACAACCAAAACTTAGTCTTTTCTTCTCCTCCTTCAACCTGGGAATCTTCCGCTAACCTGATCGCATCACTGTATGATTTATTTTTCAGGAGCTCCTTCAATTGTTCTTCCAAAGGAACTTGCCGTAGACACCAGACCTGCAATAGATTGAATGTTTTGAATAAGTAGCTAGGTACTTCAAGCATAAGAAAACGTCCATTGAACTATCAATCACGGTTCTGAAAATCGGTAGTTTTGATACTCCTGAAGCGCTTGGATCCAAAAGGTTTTCCATATCTCAAGCTCTGGATGCTTATGATCTGTGATCATGAGCGAACTTTGCATAAGTTCATGCTCCAAGTATCTGTATTCCTCTAGATCTCATGTCTCAAACCCTACGAGTGATTCAAGTTGCCCTAAGCCCTTGAGTAGAATTCTTTGAATCACATAAAGTGAATAGCTTCCTCCTATGTTGAAAATGAACGATGCGAGCCAAATTTCTCCATGCTCCTAACACCTGATTATATGAGTCCAAGCTCCATATTGCTTCATTAGATACTCTATGGGCTTCAAGGTTCAGAGATTACCACTCCAAAAATCTTGAAATTCAAAAAGTTTATTCAGTTACTATTATCTCCATTGGTATTCTAAGTCATTTCACACTCCCACTGTAAATGCTACATTTGTTTCAGTCGGAAACCTACTACAAATGGTACTTCAGCTACCTTTCGTTCACATAATGGAGACATAGAATAGCCTCTACTTAACACTCTTCCTGATAAACTTCAAGAGAGAATTTAAGAATCGTACCTTGAAGGAGTTGGCAATGACAACATACTGCCCATCATCATCGTCGGCAACTAGGCTCTTGCCTTTACCCGCGTCCAGAAGAGACAAAGACTGCATCTTTGTACCTGTTTTATGATGATAAAGCTCCACCACTCCTTGCTTGACGACCACAACATATGGAGTACTAAATCCTATACCATCTGGAACCATTTGAAATTGCAAGCTGCCCCCTGCAGGATGACCTTCTGTGTTGATTGGAATGCCTGCATTATCGATGAGGAGAAGAGCCTGTCGATCTTTTGGAAACGCCTTAAGTAAAGGTCGCCAAGAGAGTTCCTGTGGTAGAGAAAAAAGGTGTGTTGGTAGCCCAGTGGCGAGAGATATCAACAGATATTCCTGCCTTGTGCCAGCTATGATTACATCTCCGAGCCATGCCATGGTGACTATACCTTCTATCCCTGTCAATTCTCTGACTTTCACCACTGCCGAGTTATTGGAATCATCTTTAACCAAGTTTTCCCGTCTATCGATCCAATCCTGTTCTACAGGACGAATCTCAAAAAGAATTACTTTCTTCCTCAAGGCAACAGCCAGTCTCGCAAAGGTCTGGGAGACCCTAACTCCTGTTTGTGTTTGTGACACTTGAGCTCCTAATCTGCCCGATCTGCTGCTTATTCTACCTGCCACTTCACCTTTTCCCGTAGCGAAGGCTTCTCCAAGACCGCCCACTAATCCACCGAGACGGGAAGAAATCTTTCCTCGCCCAAAAAGACTTTTCATGGTCATTTCATTCCTAATTACAATTGCCCTTGACTTTTGCGTGACATCCACATCCCTCGAAGAAGGAAATAAAGAATCTGATAGGGATGAAAAAGAGGTAGGAAGACCTCTGGCTAAAGTTACGGCCCCTTTGGTGATATTGAGTCGATCAACGACATTCAGGGATTCAGAACCAAGCAGAGAAATTTGCCCGTCCGAGAGAAATGCTATCCGGCCACATTCAGGGAGAGCGCAAAGTGATTCTATCGGATGTTTGCTCACGTGTTTGCACAATGTTAGTGTCATCTCTAAGCTAGGCTTGTAAGCTGCCCGTGGGTCTAAAATTGAAGAGGCAGAGAATATTGGGGAAGAAGGACGGGCATAAGGAGAATTTACAGAGGACCCATTTTCATGCTCTCCAGACAACGACGATATTTGAGGAGAGGAAAAACTGAAAGGTGAGCAATTTGATGGCAATGCCCCCAACATGGGTGAAGAAGGTGAGCTCAAGGGCCGTGCTCCTGATGTTGGATGATTTACATACTGCCCAGATTGAGATGGAGAAGATGCATGCACTCCACGAGAAGAAGATGACGAAGCTTGTGGAGCAGAGGAGGGCCGGTTCGAGGAGGAACTAGCGGACACAGGTCGGGTGTGAGGCGGCAGAAATTGTGAAGATTGTCTCAATGGTGAGTGCGAAGGCGAATGTCCTGACAGGGTACCATTTTGAGAACGTCCGTGTGCTTTTATACCCCGTACAGGAGGAGAGAATGGAGCACCTGGGGACGATAAGGCCGGAGAGCCCACAAGATGATCGACAGAAAAGAGATCATTCGAAGGAGAGGAACCATGTACCCTCGGAGGTGACAGTTCACCGCTGGAATTTTGAGGTATGTCAATTAAAGAGCTAGCTGCTGTAAGTGGACCTTTCAAGGGGGTGGGCGCGGGTGGGAGTGACAATGGAGGTGGGGGAGGTAAATGCTGCGTTGACAACTGTTGGGGAGGGGTCTGACTGGGGGAATTTGAAGATGAATCAACAGAAATTGGGGAAGATAGAGCATACCGCAGGACGTGCCCACTTTCTGTTCCAACATACAGAACAAAAGAATCATCACTCCCTTTGCAGATGGCAATCGACTGCAGTCGACAGGGTGGTATAGGAGCATCCTTCAATGGAATTGCGTCCAATTCCACTCTCACAGCAACTCGTTCCCCTCCTTTACTCCAAGATTCCTCCATCAATTTCCACTTGCAGCAAACCACTCCTCTTCCAGGATTTGCACGCTCTCCATTAACTTCTAATTTCTCTGAGCCCCTCCCTATCCCTGTTTCCTCCTTGCTCCATAAGAACAACGCTTGCAACACGTACTCATACAGCTAGGTGCCGATCGGTCACTCTCATCAATATCGTTGCCCTCGCCCTTGTTGATCTTGCTGTTCGTCAGCGATCAGGTCCAATTTCTCTGTCGGGACTTCGCTCAAACACGTCTCCAAAAAACCCAAATCCTCCAACAAACCCATCTAAGGTTATACAAGTTTCACACTTTTGCTCTTCATATCGACTCACAACTGTCTACATTTACTTCTACGGCTCCTCAAAAAATCTGACTGCCAAGTCTCCATACCGAACTCCACAATTACCCAGCTTTCGGCTGATCGTCCAGATTGTCTCAAGGTTACTGCGACAGTGGTGCATCAACCACAAACAGGATGCACAAGATTTGATGATTAGATTCCAACACCATTTTCACAACTTGATTTCATGAGAGGTACAGACTGCTGTACTGTCCCTTGTTAGAGTTGACAAATCTGCAAACCAGACCTGGCCTTCCCCTTCATGCACAACGAGGCAGTTCCATTTGTGACGCACTAATTGAAGCAGCAGAACGTCCAGCAGAGAGACAACGCCTTCCGGAGCCCTGGGTCGGACACTTTACTTGCCAGCCTCTTCTCCTTCAGCAGCAGGTGAGAGAATGACGTGGAGGTTAGGCCGACTGGTGCTTCCAGTAACCACGTCCTCCCTCGATGCAGGAACTGGAACTTGTTCCACGTCTGTCGTCAGGTCAAGACCCGCATTCTTCTATTGCCTCCTGGTGTACTCGTTTTAGGCCTAGGTTTTCATCTTGACCATCAGAAAGCCATGAAACCTGTTAGTTCCTCCATTGGGACGACAATTTGGGCACATATGGTTCACAAGATTGAAGATTGAAATGTCTCGACTCTTCAGCAGCATGTAACTTCAAGACCATACGGTGCATCACGCAAATATTCACCTAGCGAGGCTTCTAAGGCATCACGATCTTGGTAAGTTCTTGATTGCTTCCTGAAAATTATACCACATTGAAGTTCCTTGCTTCTTGCTTCAGTCCTAAGGAAGTTTCCAATATCACATAACGTTTGTGTCAAGTTCAGTCTTCGAATCTTATGTATATCTTCATGATGAGCATGCGAAATTCTCTCAAGCTTGAGGAGATACAGGTGTAGGAGCTTTGATGCTTGCGAGGTTAGCTTAGAAAAATATGAGAGAAATTTGGTCCAACAAAAAAGATGGAATCAAGGATCTTCATTTGTGTAATTTTTACAATTAAAAATTGCTCAAGTAGCGATTGAACGAAATGCGACCAACAGTAACGTTAAATAAGGGCAGAAACAGTGGGCCCCATATCAAGGAAAGTGATGATTCAAGATCCACATATCAATTACATCGAGAGATAAGGTAGTAACAGACATTTTGAAAGCTCAAGAGCCAACGAACTCCGATGAACAATTGCATCATAAAATATGGTCAGCTTGTTGACGGCGTGATCCTATAATGCATAACCGAACCCGAGTTGTGACATTTTATGGTCTGCCTAAAAATTGGGACTTCATCTCATTTCATGTAAAGCTGTAAGAGAAAATGTGATTATCAATTACTGTGCTCCTAATTTTTTTAAAGGGAAAAAACACTGGACTGTTTCAAGAAAAGACCGGGGGAGGAAGTATAGTTAACGGTGTAACAAGATCTAACTTCCAGTTCAGTGGTCACAGGTATTCATTCTGAGAAGCCCTGCAATTGGCTGTCGTGCTTACGGAATTACTAAACAATGAAACTTTTCTGGACGAGACCTGTACTTCAGGCAGGAGAACTTCAGCATCACCAGCGATGACAGACCTCTGTTAAAGAAGTTCGGCAAGATGCGTAATAAGATGCATAGATGACCCTGGAATTGGGCTGTGCTTTGGATGAAAATATTTTTTTTCTTTTGGCGCCTCGTCTCTCCTGAGCTCAAGTTTTTAGATTGTGCTCGTACCCGCGATCTCCATGCTAGCCTTGTTCGGGATGTTGCTCCTTCCGTTGGTAGGATGAGTAGACTGTCATTTTAAGGAAGTCACGAATCAGGGATATAACGATACGTAATCGATTTTCGAACCCTTTTCATTACAAACTACTCATCAATATCCTTCTATCCATAGAATTGGATGATTTTCAGCTTTCACAAAATCACCACAACGTACACCCTTGCTCGTGTCAGAATTTTCATGCTCCCGGACATGCATCTAAAGCTCAAACTCTGTGATAGCGCAACTACGCCACGTCCTACACGAAAGTAAGCATCTGCACAGAATTACTCTCGGCTGCATGTGGGTAGAAAATTCTCGATGTTAAGAAGCGATATTATACGTCACTACTGGCTTTCACAGAGTAGTACTCTATCTCAAGGAACTTTTGGAGCAAAAGTTTCCCTTTGATCATTCCAGTCTCTCTAAAGTGCACACATCATGATTTTATGTACAAGATTTAAGTGCATATCCTAAAAGTTCTAGTATTTGATCAAATTCTTTGAGATGAACATTTAAAATAAATTTGTCACATCTAGCTCCCATATTTTGCAAAACTTCACGTTGTGATTTGCATATTTTCTTTATGTGAAACATTTCATTTCATATTTAATAATTTGAATTCTTTTTACATAGTCATTACGGATACATGTTTAGTAATTAGAACATCATGTCAAATTGGATGATTGCAACAACCAAATGCATAAGGGATTATCTGTAATATTGCAGAACATTACAATATATTTAAGTTTTGTAGTTATGCATGAAAATTCAATCTTGCGCAGTTTACGTTCCACGTATGTTAAAAGATACTGTTTTAGGCTTATTTTATCTCGAGGTGAATGGAGATAAAACCAGGTTAAATTATACAATCAAACTTGCATCAAAATCATATGCCAACTATACAAGTGTCCATTAATGAATGAGTGCATGATATTGCACTAGGTGATGAGCGTCAATGTAAGTTTGTATTCATGCGAGTCATTCTACATATCAGTTCAGAATTTTGATTCGTTATTATTTTTTTCGTAATAAAACCTTGGAAAGAATTAGACATGCAATCTTTGAAAAATGTTAAGGAATGGTGTGACTTATCTATGGTTTTCATGACGACACTAAGTCAAACAAAGCTTAATTGCTTAAATCAAGGCCATGTATATATAATGTCAGTTAAGATACATGGCTTGCAGAGAGATACATCCCTGCGTAAACTAAATCTGTTTTTTATTAAGATATTGATTAACAACTTACGAGAGAATCTTTAACCCCAAAATTAACATCTTTTTCCTCTATCCACAAATATACTAGACCTCCCTAATTTTGATGTACTCACGATGCTGCATCCAACTTGGTGAGGTTGACTTCAAAGAGTTCTTTAGTTCAAGAATTCTTCCTTCCTTAGACATTTTGCCACTCATCCGATTGATATACACAGGGTTGCAAGTGTGTTAGCATATAGCCCTAAAATATCTTCAATATCAGCATTGGTATTGTTTCGTGGAGCGTGTGACTAGTGGCGGGACGACAGAAACAAACGTATTGACTCTAAGACAACAACAAGCTCTAAACTTGAGTTTGAAGACCGCATATAAGATCGACCCTGGGAATTCAAAGTCAAAGTTGATGTCCGCAAGTACCGACCGCCGGAGCTACTACGGATATCGGACAGTCAGTGTCGCAGGCGAGGTGTATTTTTGTCGCACTGTCAACTGCGGAAACAGGTCGAGTCTGGAGCCTGAAGAAAGACCGGGACGCTGTTTGGATCGAGGGGAGGCCGGCAAGACAGGGCCCGAGACTGGACCCATCCTTGCCTCGGACGAGCTCGTTTCCGAGATTTAGCTTGAGCTGTAGTCTCCATGGAGGACTGCTCGAACCAGCGGCAATTGTGCTGGATCTCTCCGTGCGGTTCTGCCGCTTCCAGCGCCAGTGTATGGTCGATGAATCCCTGGTTACTGTGCAAATTTTCGGCGCTTTTTTTGAACTTCTATGATTGTTGTGCTATTCAAGATTTATTGAAATTATTCTCCGTGTTCTTTTGCTGTGCAGGAGTCGCATCGTTTGAGCTCATTTTTGCTTCCTTGAGGCGCTCGCGGTGAAAGCTTGAATTCTCGATTTTTTTAGACTCCGATCCGGGAAACACCGATCCATCTTAATGGTGTAGGGTTGAATCGGAGGGTAATTTTCTGAGGAACAAGTAGACAGAGGAAAAGAAAACAGCCAAGGAGCAACGATGGCGTACCGGGGGATGCCAGGCATGACGGGCATGACGGCCCCCGGGTTTGAAAGCATGAGCAATGGGGCTAGTCGTCGACGATCAGGAGAGCCACGGTTCACTCCCAATTCTTTCCAGTACAATGTGAGAGTTGCAATAGGTCTCGTGCCTTCTGCAATTCTCCTTCTGGGCGTTGGAGGGAAGCCGATTCTTGGTGTGCTCACCGTCGGGCTTATGATATCGTATATTTTGGATTCCCTACAGTTGAGACAGGGTGCTTTCTTTGGGATATGGGGGACTCTGCTTTCCACTATGTTGGCCTGGGTTCTGAGTGGTGTTAGTTTCACCTCAGCAGCTTCCGAGTCCACTGTCATGTACATTCTCACGCTTCTTGTTTCTTTCTATTTGATATTCATCGTGGGAGTATGGGCATCCTTGCAATTTCGATGGTTTCAACTGGAAAATCCATCTGTGGTGTTAGCACTGGAGCGCTTGCTCTTTGCTTGCATCCCCTTCACTGCAGCAGCAATTCAAACCTGGGGGGTAGTTTCAGCTGTTGGGATGGTCAATGGCCCTTACTATCTCATGCTTATACAGTTTGAAATGTACTGGCTATTTACTATACCCCACCACTCGTCTTTCATGCTAAAGACTGAAAGAAATTATGGTGGACAGATTTCCGAGGAAGCTCTCATAGCCGGCCCGTTGGAGTCATGCTTTCACACACTTACCCTGCTTTTCCTTCCCCTCTTTTTTTACGTGGGATCACACCATGCCAAGATGTTTTCCTCCATCTATTCGGTGTGTGATATGCTACTTCTCTTCTTTGTACCTCTTCTTTTCCTCATGTTCGCGTCAAGTCGAGGATCGTTGTGGTGGCTGGCAAAAGATCCACGCGATCTTCACCAAGTCAGGCTTGTTAATGGAGGAATAGCTGCTGTGGTCATTATCATATGCCTGGAAATTCGTGTCATCTTCTTGTCATTTGGACAGTACATTTCGATAGCACCTCCTTGGAACTACACGCTCGTGACGGTGGCCTTAATGGGAGGAGCAGGAGCTGTGGGTGCCTTCCTCTCTGGTTCCCTTAGTGATGGTACTCGTTTCGTTGTGCTCAGTGGTTTTCTCCAAACTGCTGCTCTTTGTGGGTCATTCGTATTGGGACTCCCTTACAAGGTATGTTACTTCATTTCTTTGTGAATTTTTTAACTTAATGAAAATACGTGTGCCATCTAAGTATGTATGTAACAGCACGCACATCATACGGTGGTTCAAGTTTTAATTACATACATAGGTCTTAGTTGAACCCTTCCCACTTGTATTTTCCAATGAAATCACTCTCAATTTATGTTTTGATCTATTCTGTCCTTAATGGCAAAAGTCGACATAGACATTTACATTGAATCATGGATTACTATTGCTGAAGCTGTAGGCCACTCCAACTAGAGTAGTTCTTTAAAAACTGAGGTTTATTTGGCTTTCTTGTTTTATGAATGTTGAATCTTCTGAAGGGTTCACTGAGAGGTACACAAGGGGCATATTATCGTTTGTGTTACGCATTGAAAGACGTGGGAAAGAAAAGAATGGAATTTCAGTAAACTAATGTTTATTGTTTGGATGAAGCCTTGACCTCAGTGCTTTAAAAATACATGGGATTTGATGTGTGATGATTGTTAACATAGTGTTTGATGTACTACCTCTATGATTAATGTAAGAACTTGTATGTTGCTTGATGTACATGTTGACAACTGCATGTGACTTTCTGTGTGCAGTTTTTTCCAGCTTCGATCATTGCTGCATTTTTCCTGTCTCAGTTCTGTCTCAGGAAGAACGTAATATCCTACTTTGTCGCTGTACTTGCGGCCAGTGTACCAGCAACGTGGTTTGTTGTCCACAACTTCTACAACCTAAATGTCTGGTTGGGAGGTGTGAACATCAAGCATATTTGCCAGCTGATCGTAGGGAGCATTTTACTGGCGATGATAATTCCAGGACTTTCTTTAATCCCACATAAGTTCATCCATCACTTGGTGGCCGTGGGTTTGATAGGACAAGCTTTGGTGATCTGTATGGGAGAGAATCGACTTTACAATTTCACGAACATGTACTATTATGGTCTGGAGGATGATGTTGTGTACCCGAGTTACTTGGTGGTTTTGACCAGTGTAATTGGGATGGCACTTACAAGACGTTTAGGTGCTGAAAAGAGGATCGGCTCCTGGGCAGTTTGGGTCCTGTTTTGTCTCTATGCGGGCAAGTTCTCAATGTTGATCATAACATCGAGAAATGTGTTATGGGCATCAATTGTCCTACTTTTGGCGATCACTCCTCCGCTGGTCTTCTACAAGTCTGTACCTTTACCCTTTACTACATCCTGGTTGTTGTAAACTTTCTAAGTGCTCTCACCTTTATGTGAGCAAATTAAATTATCCAGTATAGTTCTCATTTCTAGAAATGATATTCATGTATGAGTTATCGATACTAATATGTTTGCAATATTTATTTATCTTGATTTTGCAGGGACAAAGGAAAGGGTTTGTCGAGAATGAAGCCCTGGCAAGGATTGCTTCATGCGAGCATCGTGCTAGTTGCTGTGTGGTTCTGCAGAAACACGATCTTTGAGGTGTTGCAGTGGGTAACAGGACAGCCGCCTTCAGATGGATTGCTTCTAGGTTTTCTGGTTCTAGCTACAGGTCTTTCAAGCGCACCAATCGTAACACAACACTTCCCACATGTCCAGGTAGGAGTTGTACATTTGATCGATTGTGGATGTTAATACTCCAACCGCTTCTTAGGAGAAAAATATATTTTTTGTTGTCATGCGAGGATTTCATGAAGTCAGTCGCTTGAAGCAACTAAATTTTGTTCTGTCTGTGACAGTCTGCGAAGAGCGCCATGGTACTTGTTGTAACTTTTGGCATATGCCTTATCTTCATCGAACCACCTGTTCCTCAGGGTTGGGTACTGAGTCAGTATCGCACATATCAGAGGACCTTCTATCCGGACGAGCTGGCAATCTACGGAATGACAACATCTCATCCAAGTTGGCCTTCATGGCTCCTGGTGGCTACCATAGTGACATCGTTAGCAGCACTGACCTCAGCACTTCCTATCCAGCACTTCGTCGAGCTTCGCCTTTTCTATGCTGTGGGGGTGGGGACAAGTGGGGGAATTTACCTATGTGCACAATATTTTTATCAAGCCCCTCTCTTACATGCACTGCTTGTCGCCGCAATTGTTTGTGCATCCGTATTCTTGATATTTACCCATCTTCCCTCAGCATCTAGCCCACGATTCATGCCTTGGGTGTTTGCCCTTTTGGTGGCTCTACTTCCAGTTATGTATCTCGTGGAGGGACAAATTCGAGCCAAAACAGACACCGAGGAAGATAAGTTCGTAACATCTCTGGCAATTGAGGGAGGTCGCATGTCTTTGTTGGGACTATACGCCGCTATTTTTATGGTCATAGCTTTGGAAATTAAGTTGGAGCTGACAACTATTATGCGAGACAAGGCGGACAAGCTTGGTGGAAGAGCGTCAATTGTTGGTGGACCGAGGCCTCGTGTTGTGCAGCAGCAGCGACGTCCCACTATCACAAATTCTTTCGGAGTGAAGAAGCTTGCAGCAGAAGGAGCATGGATGCCAGCCATCGGCAATTTGGCTACAATTCTTGCTTTCGCACTCTGTCTTACCCTCAATGTCCACTTGACTGGAGGCTCCGATCGTTCGATCATTCTCCTGGCTCCTATATTGTTACTTCTAAATCAGGACGCCAACCTATTGACTGGGTTTGGTGACCGGCAGAGATACTTCCCGTCAACAGCTGCCATTTCAGCATATCTACTCATCTCGGGAGGCTACAGGCTGTGGGAAGAAGTCTGGCATGGATACCAAAATGCTGGCTGGGGTCTAGAAACTGGGGGGCCAGGGCTGTTTTATGCTGCAAAGAATACTTTGCTGCTGTTTCTTACAGTTCCCAACCATTTGATGTTCAACCGCTTCATGTGGGACTACGTGAAACAGTCAGAGTTCGTGTTGATGTTGGTTTCCCCTTTAAATATACCTGCAGCAATCATAACTGATGTTGCTAGTATTAGAGTCCTAGCGGTTTTAGGGTTGATCTTCGCCCAGGTACAGTACTTAGTATCTCGACACATACGAATTGCAGGTATGAAGTTTATTTAATGCGATTCATCTGTACTATCTTTAGAAGTTTAGCAATTTTTGCCCCACTTAGATTGAGCAGGAGTTCTGATCCTGCCGCAAAGTTTGGCTGGCAGGCAGGCAGGCAAACAGCCTCAAGCAGGGAAATCAAGCAACTACCTCTCACAGATTAGTCTCAAAAGAGGATGTTCCCTCGCATCAGAGCTGGAAAACACAGTTAGTATTGTTACTCACACTAAAAAGGAACGTCTTGTTCGGTCATTTGACAGTAGTTGCAAGAGTAGTAGAAGAATCAATGAGAAACAAATTGGTTATCTGGACTGCAGGTCGTATTTGCCACCTTGTGAATCCACGACAACATACACATCACTGTCTGTAAACACCCTAATGGGAGCATTTGTTTAGGCTCTAGGCGATCCAGCTTGGACGTAATTACCCGCTGACATAGTTTAGTCCGTTCATTCACATGGTGTACGGCACGGTTTGTTTTAGTATCGCAATCACTCTCAAGGACTGAAGAGGACGGACGAAGCAAGCACATTCGTACACAATACTTATACGGCACGTCGCCAGTGAGGAGCATAATTAAAGGCCAACTTTTCTGTTCAAATTTGTTCTCGATTAGTGCATCATTTTATAACTGAGGTTACTAATACGTGACAGCTAGTGGTCACGGACTCTGTCCACACTAGATGTGGAGACTCACATACAAATGAATCTGTCTTGAAAGTTTAGCTCGATTGCTGGCAGAGTTGTCCAAAGAAAGCCTAGATTGGGATGTGGAGTAAAATAGCGCAGTCTTCTGGTCACCTGTGGGTCTTGTAAACCCCATTTTGAACCCTACAGATTGGCTTTCTGCAATACAAAGTTAGCAACAAGTATTTTTCTGGAGCCTTGAAGGCCGAGAAAGGTCGAAAGATGGATACCTGAAACAGGATCTTACTCTTAAGATTCGGTAATACTAAGTGCGAAATGTTGGTCTACCACTAGTAATTGTTTATTACTGGGTCTAATCGCGACAAGAGCGAGTTAGCACAGTGTCTTTGTCTTAGGTATTATGTTGAAACCAGAAGAGACATGGTTCCTCAACCCGTTTGAACCGGGCGTAAGTCTACTCTATCTTCATTTGCCAACTTTTAATTTCAATTTCAACTAAATACAGATGTGTATTCGTAATCACCAATATTCGATTACGAACGATATTCATCTCATTTCACAAATGAGATGAACATCATACATAATACCTATATAATACATTTAAGTACAAAATAGATCACCTTGCACGAACAATGCAATAAACCTGACATCTAGTTTGATACTAAATGTTAGGAGTGAAATCATTTCTTGGGTTAATTCTCGTTAATTTAGTTTAAGTTAGCTAAGGTAGTTATTCTCAAGAGAGTTAATAAAAGTTCTCAGCGACACAATTAGTATTCTTTGTGAATCAAGTTTCAATTGTTCATGGTACGTATTCCGATGTGATACACCATGTATTTTTTCAGAGACAATTGTCTAATTTTAATCTATTCTTAGTGTGAATGTCTGTTCGTTTGTGTACATAACCTACCTATTGATTTCCTAGGATACTTTGGCTTTGTTTAGCGTTCCTTGATATCATAGCATATTGTGGATTAGTTTAACGCTGCTTGCAATCGCACGTATGAACCGCCATGCATGCGTCAGTTTTGCTCTAAATTTGGCCGTAATGTTTGTTTTAATGTGTGTGAAGGCAACAAAGCAGATTCACCCAGAAAGAGATTAGTCCTTCCGCATCTAGGTTGAAGGCTTGGTTAGAAAGACTGAGGAAAGCAGTTAGATCTCTTATGTGAATTTTGATAGCGGGTGTTTGTTTTTATCGAAACATCTAAGTATTTGCCTCTGCTTCGTTTGAGTCTAAATGTAATATAGAACTGAAAGGAAGCACATGGAGAACTAAAGTCTGCATGTGTTAAAGAACTAATATTTTCGATGTACTTGTTCTTCTGTTGAAGATCAATTTTCCAGGATAAATGTCAATGCAGAAATCTTGTTTGAAGTTTAAAAAAATTAATACTGTTAAGCAAATTGCAATGTTAGTCAAATAACATAATCAATTACCATGAACGTGATGAATATCTGTTAAAAAAAAAGAAAATCAAATGCAAACTAAAACTTACGGGTTTTATAGCAGAAATTATTTAGACAATTCGTATGTCTTTGTAAAAGTGATTAAATTTTATATCAAAGATTTTGGTACAAAAATCTGTGATCATATTGAGGTTTTGATAATCTGATGATTAATTTTAGTAAGGTTAAAGATAAATGATAAGATTATTATTTTTCATTTTATAAATTCATTTTATCATTTTCGTAGGTGTTGTTTCATTGTGATAATCAAAAGATCACTTGGAAGATTACTTAAGTTGTAAACCTTTTGTTTACGCATGATTTATATCATAAGAAAATGATGTCAAATTTTTCATCATCTTGCTCCAATACAACATGGAGTATAAATAAATATTAATTTAAAGATAAGTTCTTATATCTAGAGATACATCAAAGTCTAGAGATAGTCGCTTGGATAAGAAAACAAAAGTCTTTTAGATATATGAGAAAAGTGATTTTTTGAAAAAAGATGGTTAAAAGACTTAGGACTATGACTTGTTCAATGTTGGATTGTGATATTGTGAATAAACCTCATACAACTCATCAAAAAATGTTGATGATGTATATTACGTGAATCATGCTTGATCCTATCATATTATTACATTGGAATGAAAATTGTATTTTTTTTTTGAAGTTTCATTGAAGTTTTATTGAATCATACTCAAGTAAAAAATTGCTTGGCGTTATATAAGTTGATAAAATAATGTTCAAATAGCACAAAATAAAAAAATCTTACATATATTAATGTACAATAAAGTAAGTGATAAAGATTATTTTATTTCATTTTGAAATTTGATGACTCATGTATGACATTTTAGGCGATGAAAAATATGTAATATGTATTTGATATGCTATAGATATAGCTTGTTATTACATGGCATATGTAAATTTGACTTAAAAAATTTGAACAATGCTCTGAAAAAATTTTGTATTGGAACTCATAGCTACAAAGACATATTCAAATATTTATATAGTGTCGTTTGAGTATAACATTCAAGATTTTTTTCTAATCATATTATGTATCATGATAATTGATTAAATATTGTCTAAATAATTTTAACATGCAATATGGTTAATTTTTTACAAAATTTGAAACTAAAAAGTTCAAGTTAAGACTCAAATTTAATACAATTTAAAAAACTATGTAAAAACTACAGCTAAATCCAAACTTTCACTGAATATAAAGTTTACTATAAAGATTCAAGAATCATTTGTAATCTTATCACGATTTAATTTTCAGTATAAAACAATGAAACTTGGATAGTCAACCGAATAGTATTGAAAAAAAGTGCATAATATGTTGAGTCTATATAGTTAACCTTGCAAATTTGAAATTGAATCCTTTCAATCATAATGTATTTTGTAAATATATCTTCTTTTAATGCAATCAATTTTATCACATAAATCAAAGTGAAGCAGAGACGAACAAGTAAATATGAACCGTACCATCTACTTTTGTATACTAAAGAAAAATAATATCAAGTTGTATTGATATTTATATTCTTAAAACAAAGTTTTTTCGATATGCTAGTGATGTGAAAGACTATAAGCTATGAAATATTTTTAACCAAAAGTATATAGTAAGTGAAGAGGTTTTTCAACAAGCTTATATAATTTGAAAGAGTTGAACATTTTTCATGTTATAATGTTCAAAAGAATAATTTTCATTTCATAGATATTGGATGGATTATTAATCATGATTTTGATCAATTAGGAAAGATTTTGAAAATCAATTCTTTGTTGATGTAGGTATGGTCACAACTCGGCGAAAGACTAGCCGGCTAATATTTTTTCTTGGTTGGCTAGTTATCTACCTATCCATTCACAAAAATATCTTATTTATTTCATTAAACATGCATTATCATGATCGCAACTTAATATTGTATAGATGAAATTGTCTCACAAATGAAAATATTCTGCGGTAACACTTGTATCGTTTTTCAAAAATGCAGATTCGGACGACATTAAAGATCACATGAACATAAACGTATCGCGTGCAAAAAACTTCAATCATAGATAGTTTTTGCAGTCAATTCTTGTACATGAGACGATTGCATCGTTACATGACTTGTTGTCCATATTGGTGTAGTGCAAAAAGTTCATGATCTCTTTTGAACATCATCTCATTTAGTGTTTGATTTAAACACATGAGCTCGTGTTCAACGGACAACAATAAACATGCTTCAAGTGTTATTTTTTACGTGAAAGACATAGCATGTTCATGCCTGCTTTTAATATCATATTGTTATCAAATAATTTTTGAAGTCGTGTCTTTAATGAATTTATTTTTTGAATCTATTTTTTCATCAATCTTTGAAACCACAAGATTAAGGACTAGATCCAGCATTGGTAGCGGACTAGTCAATTGCTTTAAATAATTTTCAACTTTGTCATCAACATTTTTGCGGCATTTTTTGATCTATTGTAATGAAATTATTACTCATGATATCATTGATAATTTTGTGACAATGCGTCTTGAACAATTTATAAACCATAGGTTAATTTGATAATGTTGCATATTATTTGCTAGATAGTATGTTCAACTCGCAGATGGGAGCAAAGAAGTATTTGAAGAATTTCAATACTCTTCATTCAATCAAGCTCAAAGTTACAATCTTACCATATTGCTTGGTGCATGTTTAACAAAGATTGAAACACAACTCAAAACTATAGAATGAATCTGTGAACATGATATTTTAACGATTTTTGACTTCAAATCCAAAAACTTCTTAGGTCTTGTATCTTTGTGTCTTGGAAGAATTTGAACCTTTTTGAAATCACTTCGGAGTTAAAATGATAAGCGGATTGTCTTGAACATTGCGCAAAGGTATACATTATGAATTTGCTTCGTTGTAAATATTTGCACAATGCATGCTATGACATAAACAACAAAGATGCAATCTATTGTCTACACTGAGACCAAACTTATTGTTAAATTCATTCCATAGATGTTGCAATGCAAGAATCATTTCATTAGCATTGTTTGTTGTTGTGGCAAAAATCTTTGTGTGCATATTTGCTACTATTAACAATTTCAAAACAAACGACGTTGTGAATCATTAAGAATGAGACGATGAAAAATATTTAAAATCAAGAACTCAATCGCGTAATGTTCATCAATAATCTATCTAACGAAGGATAATCACAAAATAACTTTGCAATACTCAAATGTGCCATTCGTTGTAAATAATTGAAATTTTTTTGGGAATCAATTTAGCAATTTCACAAAACAATTTGATTACGGCAATACGTTTGTCAATAATGGCATAACTAAGAATTGAACTCAAATAATCACGCTAAAAATAAATAAAAATTCTTGTCATTTTTTTAAACAAAGCTTGTTTCACTTACAAAAAGCTTTTTTTGTATCAATCATACACTCTATCATAACCGTCATGATGTTTGAATTTGCCTTGTCATCCAAAATGTTGTACAATTACAAATACATAGC